GTTTTTGAATTTTTATTTTTACTCCTCACTTGTTTGAAATGAAATAATTTTCCATTTGTATATTAATTGTATACATTTGTATACAGTTACAAAAAGAATGTTGAAAATTAACATAAAAATATTTTAACAATTAAAAAGCTATTTTTTGGCGTAGAAATAAGTATAAACTGAATGGAAAAATGAAAAAATACTTATTTACGCAATTGCATAATGTATTGAGTATTTATTTTGTCACTCATCGATAATAATCATTTACAACAGATACTAGGACTAGCAACTTTGTCAAAACTTATTAGAACAGTAAATAAACGCAGATTTAAAAAAGCAATCAAACGTTGCGATATACCCAGTAATGACGTTCGATATCATGGTCGTCTGTAATGTACAAACAAACATAGATTTTAAAATATGCCTTAGACTAAGATTACTGTTTACTTACATAACGGTGGGCACTGACAACATTTTTCTATCGTGCATTTGAATCTGAATTAGAAAATAAACTAGTTTTTTTAAAAAATACCAGATTTGTTTGTTTAACAATGTATAATTTTGATGATGAAAGAATTTAAAAAACTACATTCACAAGATAGAGTTTTTTGAAAAACCATAATTAAAAATCACATCCGTAAAAAGACAATGCCATCTATATAGATTAAAAAATGTTTATACATTAACAATTATTCTTTCAATTTTCATTCGGTCCTGTGTTTCAAAATTAGGAACAAGAATTATTCCAGAAGTTAAAATTTGTATTTGAATATTAGATAAAAATTGACGAATCACAATAGTTTTCTGAATATACATTAACATAAAAACAAATTTGTGTAAAAATTATTCTAGATTAACATTTGCAGGATGAAATAAAAATGTATCAACGGACACTACCGATTCGAACCATCTATCAGTTATAAATATACAATCAGTCCGCACATAATCTTGTACTCTTACTTTTTACAATAACAATAATATTATGTGACGCATGAATAAAATGACTTGAATTGACAGACATAGATATTCGATGGCGAAGGTTGGAGCTCCGACACTGGATGGCTTGTACACTTGATCATATTAGACGTATTAATCCTTATCACACTGTCTGTGTACAAATATATTTTCTCCTAGTTTATTAAAATTTATTTTTAATGTCAAACACAAAGAATGAAGAGAAATCAGTTGCAAGTATAATACAGTAATTCAGTGCCGGAATCTGAATTTTTATTCCTGTCTGATGGCAAATGAAATGTTTATTTTTACACATAGTAAATTATTTATGCAATGCATAAGACACAGCTGATGTATTTACAGTAACAGACTTTGTATTTTTAATTTTTTCTTCCTTTTTCTTACCAAATATTCGCTTTAATACTTTTTTTTTTTTTTTTCAATAAGTAGTAAGGACTTCTTCATGAACAACAACTGCTTTTTTATTCTTGTAATTTTTATTTTCTCATGATTTAGGAAAGAATGGTGAAAAATAACAATAAATCAAATCACAACACATTTTTGGGATGGCTTTTCATTTTTTTTTTTTTTTTCTTTTTTTGTTTTTTTCCTTGATTTTCTTTACGAAACATCGAGAGCAATGTTAATCCAACAGATTTCGCAAAGTCCTTCGCAACGAACATTCCTAATATTTATATTTTTACACATTACAACGACATTATAGAATCGCATAATACTAATATTCTTGCAATCGCCGAACACTCGCATATACTTACACGCGCACAGGAACTCGCGAGCTTTAAGTCGAATACTGTTTTTTGCTGTAGCACGACAATCATAAAAGTTTAGCGCCACACGCATAGTTTATATACATACACGTATGCGAGGGACCAAGACCATAGCACTTCTTTCGTTTGTGGTATGTACATCGATATCCCTGCGCCACATAGCCGATAATCCGCACATATTTTAACCCCCTTTTTTTCATCCCCATGTATATATCATCAGACCACTTGGAAAACGAATCCACACCCACGAGGATCGGGAGAACTTTCGTGATCGACGAAGCTCCTTAGGGGAACTTTTCGGAAAGCGTCTCGAGTTGGAGAAATTTAATACTGCTAATCCGATTACAGCACCGCAGGGGTAACCTTTGTCCGCTGTATTTCACCAAAATTCAATGGTTTTGGTTTCGACGTAGCACAACATTAACCAAATTCACTAGAACATAATTTGGGAGAAAGGCTGGCACTACGTGTCACTTTGGACAGACAAAAGATATCCTAAAATACCATAAATGGCAGCTTCAACTAATTGTACTCCACAATACCTAAAATATATTAAATCCCTCTCAAATGAGGACAGCACCTTGTACATTCTCCTTGCGAATAGCCCGAAGGACGCACATCGAGCAAAAACTACTTCGAAAACAAAGTAAAAAAAAAAAAAAAAAATTTGTGTCACTGACTGAGGTGCTCTCGTATACAGTATCGTCGCTCACTCTCAGGCGCTCTCTTTCCCGCGATTGTACTCGCGAACGTCGCGTTTCAAAGCATAGACAACAATAACGCTAAAACCAATAGTCGTAACCTGCTTTTTGCTCCAGAGTCGAGGGTCGAGGGAGACACGCGGGCACCAATAATAACCGTACCAACTGTAAACACACAATCCGACTGCCTCGTCGCAGCATCGATTTCTCTCGGTCAAACGGATCAGGGTTGTCTTTTCACTGGAAATCGCGAAAAAATCGCTGCACCGCGTCGTAGAAAACTTTCAAACTCCCCGCACTTTCCATTTAGGATCGCGAATCAGAGCTGAAATGCGTGTGCTTGCAGCGTACATGAGAGCTGATCGGTATACCGGAGAGCGAGCCTGACTGCCAGTAAAATCGGCAGACCTTGAGATTGTTCTCGTTTATTTATCGGTTTTGAAAAAAAATTTCGTTAAATTTTGCACGATTGTCTCTCAATACGATTCTTTTTTCCTTCGCTGCCTACGGGGCCTAGGTAACTCTTACTGCTCGAGTTTTCGGCTCGTAAACGCTCAGTCCTTTGAATGAATTGAACCAAAAGCCGTAAGAGTTCCTTGGCTCGACACTGGCAATCTCAACCCAAAAAATGAAGCTACGAAGAGAGAGCATCTGAACAATAATTGCAAGGCGACACTGAGCTCGCCGAGTCATTGGCAACGAGAGACACATCGACTTATTATCGGTTAATAATACTATGGTTACCGTAATACGAATAATTTGTGAAGATAAAACAAAGGGGGAGGGGGTGCCCTTTTTTTTACAGGATCAGATCACAAGCTCGTCGTATACTCTTGCAGGGTGTCGTTGAGATCGCTTGCATGACGCTTGTTTTTTTTTTTTTTTTTTTTTTACTTCAACGATACATGTATGTGCACGCAGTTGAACATTGGAGAGGGGCCAAAAAGCACAGGCGTGTTTGAAAATATACTTGGTTAGTTGTCCTACGTATTAATATTATTGTATTTCTCTTGCTACCAATTTTATAAATATTTATAATTTTTACACTTGCTTTTTCCAAACATACAGTTATGGACTTCGCATATATGTACATTATCAAACACGCGTGTTTAATGATACAGTTACAGTTGAAAATATGCAAATACGTAACGTAAAAAAAAAAAAAAAAAAAAAAAAGGAAACTATGTGAAAAATTGGAGAACTTATCAAGTTAACTCCTATGAGTTTTTTTTTTACAATTTTTTCAACTATATGCGACTCTTGACCTGCCAGTGTTCGTACGTACACACAAAACAATACTTTGACGAGTTACTTGAGAGTTGCTATTTATTACTATTATACATTTTTTCTTCCATTTGGATAGTAGAGACCTGAGAGGTCCAGATGCTAAAATATTTTCTTCCAAGTAAAGTGAGTAAAAAAACTGTTAATATGTAGATACATGGGAATGAACAATACAATATGATTTAACAATTCGCAGCTGCTTTGCCGTTTCAAAAGTATTTTCATTTTTTGATTTGTTTCTACACTTTTTTTTGATTGTATCAAATGAAAGTGTGTATTTTATTTTACACATTAAAATGTTTCAATTGCAATAAAGTAGTAAAAAAATTCACTTTTAAATTAAGTTTGTTTGAGATTCGTTTTGGCTATTGGGAATATCCTTGAAAACTTTCACGGTCATCGTGAAAGTTTCCTATAGGAATGCTGCATCAAAGAGAAAGAGACGAACGTCATTTTTGCCTCTAAAAAGAATTTTTGTCTGCTTCTCTACAAAGTGTTGTTCTACTCATGGTAATTGAAATTATTATTATAAACGACCATCATTTGTTGAGAATTTTATTGGTCCATCAAAAAAATTATCGAGTTTCAAGAAAACCCCGTCATCATTAACTTTAAGAGATTAAAAATACTTTTCGCGAGAATTTTATTGACATTTTTCAATCACAACTTGGGTTTTCCAATTATTTTTCCTTCTCCCTCAAGAACGGGAGGACGCAATCGCCAGCTAACAATGAAAGATCAAGAGATCCCCCTCCTCAAGTCCAGACCGACGAGAAATTTAATAAATCCCTCCTCCCTCGCCCCATTATCGACACCTATGGCGACATCTAAAAAAAAAAAATCCTGTCCTCAAGACCCACAAAAAAAAAATCATCCGCATTCGCGTACATTATTCAATATATTACAATACAAATACATAGAAAACACTACCGATAAAAATCATCGAGTTTCCGATCATACCTAAACGCGCGCTAGTCTAATTAAAAAAATATTTGTTTATTTACACGACGACGGCCCCTTGCATCCCTCTTAAATAGCCGCTCCCACGTATATGTATATATATATACATGCACATTTATAAACCGCAGAGATTCGAGGATGAACACACTACCGATCGACCATCATGCATAATAAATACCCGGACAACCACCTGCAACGATACCCTTGTAAGTGGTAAATAAAAAAAAAAATAAATAAAATCAACATACACACAACATACAAGGAACCAAATAGACAGTTGAAAAGCACACACATCAGGTAATTGTTTTTCTTTCTCGGTCAACGAAACACCCATTAAATATGTACACAAAACCTTTTTGCACCCGCGCGTGTAAACGCTTACATGTTATAGCTGCAGCATCGATCTCACGCGTAACATATATATATATATATTATACCACGTATATAAATTGATACACTTGGCGTACGGCGAGCCGCGCTCTTTTTATGCGTTGTCTTGACGCGAAAGAGAAAAAATAAATAAAAATCAACGAAGAGAAAAACCATTCCGTTTACACGCTGTCTTATTGTTGGCGCATCGTCGCTCGTATATGCACAGCTCACTCTGACGTTGCGAGAAAGACACGTAGGCAAAAAAAAAAAAAAAAAGAAACAAGAGAGAGAGAGAGAGAGAGAGAGAGCTCGGGTGTGCTTCTGAGATTCAACGACTGTCCCATGCTTCGGTGGAGCCAACGGTGGTGTCCAGTGGTCAGCCGGCGCGCTGTTGCTGTTGTTCCGACGACGAGGCCTCGGCTTGACTCCTCGACGAGTTGCCGGGATCTAGAAATCATACATTTTTGATGATATTTGTACACAAAGTTGGATCGCGTCGATGGTTACGCCGTGGCCTCTGACGTAATGGAAGGCGTATATACGTAAGCAAAAGGTGACAAAACAGATGGCAAACGCGGCGCTCTCGGGATTTATTGGGAGCCGGCCAGCCGTAAATTAAAAATTATTATCGCTCCTCGGATCGGTATGTACTTTATTTCGGAGCAAACGATGGTAAACGGAGAATCGCGCGCACCGGCCTCATTACACGCGCGAGTCCCAATTAAAGATTTACGAGACAGCATCGCGTACAAATACGTACGTATATTTATATACATATATGTGTGCATGGATAAAGGTTAGCAGGTTGATGAGGTCGTTTTCAACGCGAGCATGCTGTTAACGCGGTCGGGCAGTAACTCTGTTTATCGATTGCTCGTGCGTATATACACGGAATTGTTGAATCGATCTTATTTTTATGGCCGTTCGCGTATATCGGGGATTACTGTTATTACAGCGACGGACCTTCGTGAGGCAAATGTGGTATAATGCGAGGGTTCACGTGCAATGGCTCGATCGGGATTTTCTTTTTTCCCTCTCCCTCTCGTTCGACATTAATTTATATGTCGTTGAAATTGTGACTACTATTATTATTATTACTTTTTTTTTTTTTTTTTCTTCTTTTGTTAGATTTTTTTCCACGAGATTTTTCAAAGATAATACAGGACGTTACGATGCGATTGGATATTAATAATAAAGGGGAGTAGGGTAAAATCGAACTTTTGAGTAAATAAAAGAACGAGTGTACGAATTATCCCTGTCCCCTCTTGTATATTGTTAATAAAAAAAAGGAATACCGACCCGTGCTGAGTGCCTCGAGTTTCTCGGGTAGATCGGCAGTGCCGGTCTCCGCGTACTGCCCTAGTATGTCGGGCATGGCGTTTCTGCGTCCAGTCCGGCCGGTTGACAGGAACTCCTGAGTCCCCTCGCCGTTTACGAAGCCGCTCGGTGTCACGGCACCGCTGGAGCTTCCTGCCGCGCCCTCGTCCTTGCAACCAGTACTTGTTCCCGGCACTCCGGGCTCACCCTCCGAATACTCCTGCGACAGCATCCTCACGACTGCGAGCCGACGAGCAGCACCTTGAATTTTTTTTTTTTTTTTTTTTTTTATTTACTGGCGTGAAAGAGGCGCTTAACGAGAACCTTACATTCTGGAATACCAAAATTATGGTAGCTCAAAGACATGCAATTTTTAACTTCGAGCTCGCTTACCCTTTCATAAAATAAATTTATTTTAATCCTATTTATTTTCACAGATATTTTTTTGCCGTAGTCGATAAATAGGATTATCGAGAATAAATATACCGTTTAGTTTCGAGCACTCACTCATAGCATTTTTCGTAAACTAAATTTAAAAAAAAATTTAACGACCAAAATGACGTTGGTCTAGGTTTTCTATTTTAAAAGTGAAACAAAGAATAATTTTTTCAATGATTATTTCGCGTTTGCTAGCTCTTTTGCAGTTATTTTAGTGTATTATAAAAGCTGTTGGTCGTTAAATGCCGTGGGCAACGCTCGAAATTTCAGAATCATAAATTTACACGTTCAAGAATACTTTTCGAGGATTCATAAAATCGCACGTAAATTTGGTTTCAAAAATTAAAATCCATCCGTAGAATTGCAAATTTTTTCAGCTGTATCGAAAAGTACTCTCGGTAGAAAAAAAAAAAAAAAAAAAGTACGGATCTTAAGCTCCCATTTTGCGTTCATCGATTTTTCATTCATGGCAATATCTGTACAGCTAAGAAATTGTTTCGAGAGCTTTAGAGGAAATTTTGCATAAAAATAATATTGGACAAGCACTTTCGGTACTTAAGCTGTAGCGAAGTTTTTACGCGCACATTCTGCACTCACAGACAACTAAGGTTCTCGTATTGATTTTCCATATTCTCCAAACTCGGGAGAAAATGGCTATTTTACTACACTGTACGAAGTCTTCTTGAATCAAGAAGTACGACATTCGCAAGCTAACGTAGCTCAATTATATTATTTTAAATACCAAACGAAACAAATATATCAGCAGCTGTGGTGGTATTGTTATACACGATGTAGCATACATATAGCCAAAAGTATCAACAAATGATCTATGTTTTTAACGTAATTTTTGGCAAAAACCGTGCTCCCATAGCTTGTTAGTCAACAGTTGAGTTAAATCGTTACAACAGTTGGTTTGATCGGTTGATACAATAATCTCATGATGGACACCATTGTTATTGTTGTTGGAATAAACCAGGGCAAAACAGAGAAAGCCCTATGTACTTAACCGAGTTTCCCTATACAGATTAACCGCATGTACCTGCAATCGTTGGAGCATTGCATAACTCGTACAGTATATATTGCCGTGGAACGGATATTGCGAGCGGAACAAACGACGCGTGCGTTCATTGCGAAGCTAAGTCACCACGCGGCCTTTCCCCGTGAGTAATTTTTCAAACAATGGCTGCCATATAATATATGAGTGGCTTATTGTTTTTCACGTGCTAAGTAGACGAACATCAGACAAAACGAAACAAAAAACAAGACAAAGTGCTCCTAATTGCACACGTAATCGTCCGGGGCGAATTGAATGGCCGAAGGACAAGTTTGAGTATCACGCGCGTGCATCGCTTAAAAGCGATCGTTGCAGTACTCGGCTGGCGTGAAACTACGAGAAAAGAGAGGTTACACGTACAGGTGAAGATGCACTGGTCTCGAGAAAAGGTTGACGTCTTTGTCATCGCAACAAGTTCAAGTCACAGAGTTTACACAAAGCCATAAAATTATGGCAAAATAGGTTGTTATGCGTATTGAGGTGGAATATATATATATTCTTTATATCTACGCCAGCCATAACTCGGGAAATGTGTTTTTCTAGTTATCAGTGGTAGCATTGGGAGAAGAATACTTTGTGACGATTTAGTGAAAAATGTAGGTTACTCATGATTGCATACTTATTTTGCAGATTTTCGAGTTTTACAGGCTTAATCCTTTAAGTTAGTCAGTCCAGTAGCATCCCAATTACAGCAGTCTAATATGTACTCGGCATAAAAATATCATATATTGATATTCTGAACAAATCACTACAATGATGTAACTTTACATATTGTTAAATTAATTTTATACGTATTTTGCGTAATATGATAACAAAAAGTACTCTATGAATTTTTCGAAAATTGAGTCACTAGATTTTTGAAGGACTAATCTTTACTTTTTTAGAACTCATTTAACGAATATTTTCTTAATACTAGCAGGCTGAACGCAATTCTTCTATTCCACATAAACGCACTACCATTGAGTCAAGTTACATGAATTATTTAGATGCTCGCAGTCAACGGAGTTGATAAACGTTCTATGTGTGTCATAAAACCCCAAGTAAAACAAAAAAAGGTCTGTACGCAGAATTAAATATTACAATATGGCATTAGGTACAAAGATTACTATACATTCTACCGTTACGTCAATGTGTAAAATTTTCTTTAGCGAAAATATTGTGAACTAGTGATCAACAAATAAAAATTCAGATGAAGAAGTTTAGGTGTAGGATTTGTAATTGACATTATGTACCACATAATTCTGCATTTGATAGTTTTACAAGGCTTATTGCAAATGATTCATTAAATTGTCTTCTTTTCCCCTCTTGTCTTTTATCTTTCGAATATCCTTCAAGTTTATCCTCCTTTCGCTAATTTTCGTTCTTTTAATTAGTAAAATTGTTTATGCTTGCTCTTTCTCCCTCACTAAATACTGCAAGGTTTACCCTCCCCCTGAATTAGTTACGTAGTTGATGGTAGTCCCCTTGGAGCAAACGGGATTGTACTCTACTCCTCACTACATATATACTCAAATAAAAAATACATTTTTATTGAACGCTCCATCCACCTTTTTTTCAGCAATTGTAGTTATATTTTAATAATAAATTTAGAAGAAGAAGTAAACATGGTTGGCGTATTATTAATTTTTCACGTTGGTCCACTTACTAGCTCTACCGTACCAGTAATTCGAAAATTATACACGTTCACTCCTAGGTACATGTAATCAATTTGTAGAATTTTTTTTTGTACCCCAATGTAAACAAAAAAGTTTTACGTACAAAACTAAGAAATTAAAAAACAATGAATCAGCAAAAAATTAATTTCGTCTTTTTAAATATGATCCGCTGTTGGGCGAGTATTTTAACGTTATACGCATGCATCTCAAAGTCAATTGCACTGACGCGTCTAAAGTTCGAATGGCAGCTTGTTAATAATGCTCCGAATAAGCTCATTAGATGCACGCGACGCGACGTCAGGTTCCCGTTATATGCATCGGTGCAGCAGCTTTAGTCACGAAAACGCTTCCCCAGTATCCCTGATGTTGCATCAAAGTTTATTCGGAAACTAAAATTTTCCGTCTGAAAATTAAAGAGGAAGACACAGAGCGAGTATTGTTTTTCTTTGTCTTGTGATGAAGGCATAATGATTACTGTCACTTTGACGCTTAAACTTGGGAAAACAAAGCTGCTGGGGCTATTATCATTTGTTGCATAATCTTCTTTCAGTGACACTAGTTTTTTTAATTATTTTTTTTTTCGCACGAAAATTCTAATTCAAACAATTTTAAAGAAAGATTTAAGAAAAATACATTACTTATCGCTGTCTATTCAAAACTCATACCACGTAAATATCTTGCTTTAATGATATTCAAATCTCTATCCGCAACGTGCTGGAATCGATTTTTTTTTAAATAAAAAATGTATATTAATAGCTCTTGATTAGTCGACAAGTGCTGCTCTGGTATCTAAATGTATATATATATGAATACGTGTAGTGTAGCACTTGAGATAACTTTTTTTTGTTTACTATCAAGTGTTAGTACATACTCAGCAACTTCAGTTAAAGTGTATAGCAGATATTTGCTCCACATATGAAGTATCATCAAACAAATAAGCAAACAAAAAAACCTAAACTTTGATAAATATACAACCATCATTAATTTTTCGCTGTTTAATCAAACACTTCTGTTTAATTGGCCACACAAAATTCTGCTCTACGTAATACATTGTATAAATTCAAGCTGCTTTAATCAAGTGTAAGTATGCAGTACGAGCCCTCTGGAAGGTGTACATGTGCCCATGTGTGCTGGATAAAAGGGTGGTGTCTTTCAAGATTACGATTCATCGCTCGTACACTTCGGACAAACGACCGACGTTGTAATCTGATTGCACGAATCTTTGTCCGTCGTCACATCAAATTGTGAACAAAAAATCACATCGATCGGAGAATCCAGCGATGATGATGATGATGATGATAAGGATCGAACGTTAAAATGCGTCATGAGGCTCAGTCCACGTCAGAGATGCTCATCTGCGTTTTAGTGCGATTGAGGGGCCTATATATATATACAGTACATATACGTAAACAAATTTTAAGGCTACCCGAGAAATGTAATATTAGAAAGAACGACGACGTAGCGAATGAATGAACAAGCGAAATTAAGTTACTCGTGGAAGAAAAGTAAATTGCTGTAAATTGAATGATGTACGAGAGACTTGAGCTATTTCTACGTAGCAGAAAGGGAGATGAGATGGGACGCGGAGGAAAAAGAAAAAGAGAGATAAACGAGTTATACAGAGGTGAAATGGTCGATCTGTCCCATCTATGTGTGTCGGTGTGTATTTTGAGCGGAACAGAGGTCGATGAAAGTGCAGCTGATGGTGATCAAGAATGTAAAGCCATCCCTTAAAAATCGGCGCGAAAACTATAGTTGTCCTTGCAAAAATTGATGCTGATACAACGGCTGATTTGATCGACACTCTTGTGTGCAAATGATGAACCGACCCAAGTATGATCCTCGTGGGAAGAAAATTATGATGACATCATTTGTAGTAGAGAATCATTTGAAATAATAGTTTTTTGTACCGAGAAAAATATACGTAGCTTTAAAAAATAATTTTCAAACTGAAAGCATAAATCTATTATCGTCGTGTTCCATCAAAGTTTTTGACTCGCTTTGTTGCAGATCTATTTTTTCCCTGGCAACTCATTGTGAAGCCATGAAAATGAAAAAATAAAAAAACAAAATATGGCAGGTAAGACGAAATATTAAATCTCGCACAAAAACAAGATCACGACACCCATAGGCTATCGTCTCTCGCGGCGCAACGGCGACGCCCGGGAGGGTGAAGATCGAGTCGTATCTCGTGGCGTTGGAGGGAGAAGCGGATGCGCTCGGAAAGACAGTGAGATTGAAAAGAAGAGGCGAATAAAAAGAAGGCAAGACGTCGGGGTGATTAATTTCGTGAGCCAAGGGGAGGGGAGGAAGGAAGATTGACGGGGCACACTTAACAAATAAAAAAAGGAAGCAACGAAAAAACACGTCAGCCGCGAGTGGGAGCTTTTGCTCGTCCTGGCAACCCGATGAAAGAGGGAGATGGATATTGCGGGCGGGAGCACGGCTATAGAGGGGGATGTTATTGACGTGCTGCGACGCGAGGTACGTTCGTTCGCGTTTGAATTTCCTTTTTTTTTTCTAATTTTTATTGGCGAGTGGGGAGTCGCAGCCTTGAATGTTATTTTTCTCGGCGGTAGTTTCAAAGTAGGTTTCGACAAAAAACGTCAGACACCAAAATACGAACAACAAGGATCAATAGATGACTTTTTTTTCCTTTCCATTCGAGCGAGTGCACTGACTTGCACAAGGAAAAGTGGTGGTTTTTACGGATATCTCCTGAGTGCCGTTCGTTGATTACTATTTTACGACTAGTTTAAAAGTTACGTGTTAATTCGGGATGTTTATCGCATGCAAGTGGATTTTGTAAGCTACAAAAAGTACAAGGAAATAAGTGTCATTTTGCTTCTTGATTACGGAATCATTTATGAAGTACGTCTATTTGATGACGACTGATTACATGATCAGAAACGAAAAAGTTAAGGACTACGGAAATTTCTACTTGCAGTCAGTGTGGAATTGTACTTTTGCAACTTCTGTGTAATACATGGATCTACACACACTAGTGTTTACAAGGGCCATGAGCACACGTTGGTCAAATACTGTCAATTGGTGTACATTCGCCTCGTTTCAATCTTTGTGAAATAAAATTACACATCAAAAATTATAATTATTCATTCACTTCTGGTCATATACGAGATAAAATACATGTAAAAAATTATTAAAATAGTTTTTCATTGTAATTTATCGAAACATGCTCTGTTGAAGACCCGTAAATTATTTTCTACTTGGGAAATTATTACTACGAGCAAATTAATATTTTTTTTTTTTAATTTCTAATTTGTAACTATTGAGTTAAAATTTTGATCTATAATTTAATCAAACAATTTACGCGAATTGACTTCCAACCCAAGAGTTCATCGACTACGAATTAACTTAGAGAAATACGAACAAGGTAAGACGAGTCATCGACTGCAGGTGCATATAGAAAATGAAGTGTAAACTAACCTGAACTATATTTTAAATTTGTTATTTTAATCTATTTAAGATAAACACTCGTATCTAAACAAAATATTTTTAACTGAACTAACAATAGATTTAAAGTTAATTACAATATTCTGCTAATCCTATACTACGGTGAAACACACAGGCAAACAGTGCGAGTTAAATAAAAGCGTATATACAAAAAAACGGGTGTAACAAATGCTCATTACTGCAACATTAGTTTCATAAAGACTGACCAATCATAAGAATTCGCGATTTATTTGAAAGGATGTAGGTACAGAAGCACCGAGATGATGCTTTGCGATTTTCGTCTTTGTTTGCCATCCCGATGAAATTGGCTGCTGTGTTTCCAACAAAGACGTGCTTTTACGAAGAAAATGAACGATCATCCGCCGACTCGTTTCAACGAATCAACGGGCACAAAGGAGCAATGAGATTACCAAAAAAGTACAGAGGGAAAAATTAGTAGAAAAAAAAGGATATATTGAAAGCGAAAAAAAGGATTAAGTGAAAAAGCAGCCAGCTAAGAGGAAAAAAGTACAAGTACGTGTTGGTTAATATGTTTATTAAGAAAAACGAGAACAAAAAATTTGAGCTTTGTCGTGAGCGTGTGTACATAAAGGTGAATAGGAAAACAAGAAAAAAAAAAAAAAAATTACAAAGGACGTGAGCGAGACAAGATAACGTGGCTGAGGTTGTACCTTGGACGGTTGTGATGTTGGTGGTGATGGAGGGTGGGCGCTTTCTCCGGTTACTATGCTTGGCCAGTCTGTTGGATACGGGTATGCGGACGCCCCCATCAAGCCGAGCTTTCTGCTGCTTCTTCACCTGCACCCTCGTTTCATGTTATGTTAAATACATGTGCATGCTTTCTTTTGCTGTTTATCTACTCGAATCTACTTTTTTTTTTTTTTTTTTTTCATTTCATAGCATTAAACACACCCACGCGTACACAAACACAGGGATTTTTTCACGTATTAGAGAAACGCACGGTTCTCCCCTGCTTTTATTTCCCTTCCCCGCGTTTTTTTCGCATGGCCTCGTGCAGACGCAAAGCATAATGAACGGCACTGCTCTAATGCTCGGGATATAGCTTTATTGTATCCTAGGGCTTACGAGTGCGTATATATAGCTTCTTCTTTTTATTTTCTGGCAGTGGTTGCAAGGGGCGAAATATTCCAGTGACAAAATGTTTTTACTTTGACCAGGTCGAGTTTTTAAAAGTAAGAGAAAAATTTCCCGATTATACGTGGGGTAGAAAATACGTAAAAAAAATAAATAAATAAATGAAAATTCAGGTAAAATTTGAGATTGAACGAGACGAGTGAGCTTAATTATGCTCAACAGCATAAAGCTTTTAACTCTGCGACACTAATGAAGAAGTCCTTAGAACTTCATCATCCGGATAACGATAATTTACGCAAAAGAGAATTTTTTAGAAATAGCTTCGGAAGAGGGAATAACCCAAATGTACGTGAATCAAATCCCCTCTTGATGAAAATAAGCACGTTCGCTTTATTCATAGACTATACCCAAATTCCCATTCCACGTGTAAGAAACTAGAACATAAAAAATAAAAAATCATCACCGGACATTATATTGTGCAATACAGTTAAGTAAAATGAATTGCACGTGTGCGTTGATTATTTTTTTATGCCACTACAGTGTAACGAACAAGCTAAAAATGTATGAAAAAAGGGTGGTACTGTAAATCACTGCTAGGTATTTTTTAAAGAACGTCTCTATTTCTCGTTTGCTTTGTGTCAAAGGACACTGATTGAAAAATGTGTTTATTGAGAGTTTTTGGGGCGGAAATAATTTGCCCGATGGAATAATATATCTGGGTCTCGATGCTGATGTTTTACGGCAGATGGGTAATGCGGAGAATTTTTTTTGTGACTGTAAAAAAAAACAAGAAAAATTGGAAAAAATGCAGGTATGGGTAATCACAATTTAAATGAATTCCCTTTAAAAAAATATTGTTCTTCGACCTTCCACATTTGACTCAATTTCGCGTGGACCATGAATACATTATGCACAACTCATTTTTATGCAAAACCCATACCGAGTTCGATCATTATTTTCTCGTTGGGCGATAAATATTTCAGAATTTCAGGCCAATCAAAAAGAAAAATGGAAAATCGTAAACGGCTAAAGACAATCATGGATTTTATAAAAAAATTTAATTACTTTTGCAGAAATTCTCTTTCAAATAACAACTAAGTTTCCTGTGTTATTTTCAGCATACAAAACGTTGTTATGACAAGAAAAAATTGAAATGCAAAATGACAATGGAAAAAAGAAAAATTCAAACACATTATGGGTGTGTACGTGGCGAAGGACTATTAACTTTTTTCATTACTAACTTCGAAAGGTCGTTCTTCAGGTTATAAGTAGTTTTTTTGCGTACTTAAAAAAAATCCGTACTTTTAGCTTTATTATTAGTTCAACGTGGTGACACAAGAAGCTGACGGCATAATATAATTTCTGGCATAAATAGAAGAACATAATACCTGTCTATACACTAACGACAACATCAAATAAAACTATAGAGATGTATGTGAATATAGGTCTAAAACAACTAAATTTCGAAGCGAAAAAAGTGTCTCTGAAGAGAGAGAGAGAAAAGGCGGAAAATCACAGGTTGTTTTGCCACACTGGTAAATCGATCGATGGTACATATGAATATAAAGGGTAAAGATTTCCGGGAAACTTATTATTTCAAACGCCAGGCTATTGATTTTCTTTGCCGGCTTGTGTGAAAACCAGCACAAACTTCCAAAGATACGAACCTTAACCAGGCACACCAACATAAGAGTAGTTCGACTTTCATGTGTGTGCCAAAGACGATGGTGGAAAAAGAGATGCTTATTAGTAGTTGTGTGTAAGTTATGTAACACCCTTTTATTTCTGGGCGAGGTCAGGTGGGCCCTTTACTTCTCAAGCGCAGCTCTGCCTCGCACCCTTTTATTCGTAGACATTTTTTTTCTTTTTATCACAGACAGACGACGAAGAGCTGGTCAAGCTTTTTTTTTTCTTCTTTTTTCAATCGAGGTAAATTTTGAAAAGAGATGGTCTAAATTATTGGTACAAGCTCTGGCTCGCCTTAGACGGGTTTATCGTTGAATTATTATGCTCGTCACTTTTATTTCTTTTCCTCTGATTTCGCACGAGCGCTTCATCATTTAACAGCTATTCTTGTACACACATATATATCTACGCCCACAACTGGCTTATTGGCTATGCACGAGATTATGAAGACCCCTTTGAATAATTTATGGTACTTTGACTGGTGAGATTGTTATCAGAGCCAGTTTGGGATCTTTAAGAGTTTTCTATGCACGAAAATCATTGTTTTTGTACTCCACAACTAACATTTCTTTTTATTACTTATTTTTTTCTACACACTTATGATAAGAAAAAAATGAAAACTGTCGGGATTTTATAAGGTGAGAAAAAATATTGCAGAGCACAATTTTTTTTTTTCTTTTTTGTTTTGAGTTGAAAAATAGAACCAAGCTCAAACCGAAATTAGGAAAGATCTTTTACAATAATACCGTATTTTTTCCTCAGTTTTTTCTGAATTGATTTAGAAGTTTGGAGAAAAAAATATAAGTTTGATGCTCGAAAACTCCTGTAACAGGGTAATCCAAGCATGTTGTTGTACTTCTTTTACTACCAACGTAAAAAGTGTTATCATATTATTACATATAAACTCTACTTGAGCTATACCTTGTAAAATCTGGTAGGCCATTTCTTATCTTAATGAGGCACTATCATTAAATCTCAGATTTATATGAATCTGCGGCAATTCCTGGTGATAGTAGAACCCTAAAGATACTGTACATCGGGATGCTCAATCTGCTGCTGCCTTAGCTGAGTAATGAGTAGATATTAGCTACAGTAATAATAAGATAAATATAATTATAATATTTGAAGCATATTGGGTTCAATAGGCACAATCACTTCACAAATCTTAATTCCTGGGACTACGAGTCACCAAGCTTTTACCACCTTACTTTCTCCTCCACTTTTATTATAAAATTACAATAATGATAATAATAATAAATTATTAATCTCATTATTATCATCCACTATTTATTTGATAACAATAATAATAACAATTGTATGTCATGCTTCACTTCCCTTATTTGTATAATGCATAAATTATCAAACTTGGACTGATAGATGACATAATTCACAAATTCCATGTCGATTCCCCGTACCTACTAACAATCAATAAAATTTGTGATTTTCAGATGGTAAAATTCATTATTGTACGCACAAACACGTCACACAATAAACATAAAAATACCACGTATTCTCTCAAGGACAACGGAAATTCGGCAGTCCCTGTAAATGGATGAACCGTAGAGAAAAGATGATTTGAGGTATGGTGATGTCTATAGCAATAAGTTTCGCATAGAGAAGAGAGAGAGAGAGAGAGAGCGTAAACTCGATCGGCGCCCGTTGATTAGATTGCCTTCCCCTTTTGGTGGTATATAGAATGTGCATGCGTGCGTCGGCAATTTCAGCCGTGCTTCCATGCTCCTCATCCATTGTACCACAGGTAGAATATATAAAAGCCATGTATATAACCAAGCGTGCTTGTCCGTCAGTTATCAGGTGATGCTGCACCATATAATGGCAATATGTAGAATACATAATATATATATACAAGCTCTATTTGGCCGCATGATACGTAACGCGTTTTATTGCATGGTAACTCGGCTGTGCTAGTCTGGCGCATCGCGTATGACAATCCTCCATCATAGGAGCAGGTAGCACTCGGAGGCATATAGCCGGCGTTTGTTCGTTCCCTTCCGCTTTATTATATTCCGTCCACCTGATGGCCAACCTTGACGAGGGAAGCTTATCCTCGATTTCTCTCTCTCTCTCTCTCTCGTCCTTGCTCTCGGCAAGCACTGCTTGCACAGCAGCTATGAACTTTAATTTCGTACCCCGAGTCTCTGTCTTTTATGCATTTCCTTTATGCATGTTTATCGATGACATGTCTATAGGTATACTCATTTTCGTGCTCTTTCGAATTAATTTACGTCGTCGTCGTCGTCGTCGTCGTCGTCGTCGTCGGAAAGGGGAAAGAGATCGTGCTGGCTGCACAAGACGAAAACATCGATTCATGACTTCACGGCCAAGTTTCCGAAGACGCGTGTCTTTCGTCTTCGTGTACCAATATTATACATGCTTCTTGATCCTCGGTGGTACAGTTGCAAATGAAGGAACTATCTTCGTGGGCAAAGTGTATCTTATCACATATTTTTGTAGAATCAATGTATAATATTATTTTAGCGTTTTATAAATATTACTGGAAACTATTTCATAAAAATGCTGTAACAAGTTGATCCAGTTCGTATTTTCTTTAAGACATTGTCAGTTAAAAATAAATGATGCCCTATCTAATGATTTGCCGTTCTCTCTGGTTGTTGTCACGTACGTTAGTCTGAGGAAGGTTATCTCGTTCTTTGCTTGTTATGCTATAGAATATCTTACTCGGTAGCAATGTATCACTGTGACTTACACAACTTGAATTTTAATAAACTTTTCATTCTATTGAGGATTTAGTAATGTTGCACTCTTATTTTTTAAGTGGTCTTTGAAACTTTATAGTTTTATTATCACCTGACAAAAGAGAAAAAGGGAAATAAAACCCACATTTCCACATGCTGTGGTCAACTGATTACTAACTGCGAAAAAAAAAGTCGTTTCTCAAGTTAACGCTAGTAAGAAATAACTGATTTTTAAAACTACACAACAAGCCCTTCAGAAACTTTACCATCAACAACTTCGACTCACAAACCTTTGATGATTTACAATTGTGTTCAAACACCATTTTGCCAAAAAGCGAAAATTTGAAAGAAAAACATTTTTTTAGTAATACAAGGACCTCAACACTTATAAATCAGAGTTGTACTTAATGCCTTCTTTGTTTGTGGAAGATTGAATTTGTCGACATTTCTCAAAATCGATCGCCCTTTTTTCCTAGATAATAACCGGTATCCTTGACCGCATTAGACTTTTATTAATATTTATGTAATGTATTATATTGTGCACTGAAATGAACAGCTATGTACACGTAAGTAAAACATTAAGTATGCGCACCGAGATTATAGCAGCGATAATGAAAACAGCTAGCGACTTTCTACGTACTCGTGTTCACATACACACGTACAATATTTTTTTGTAATAATAATTATATTCGTTTTGGACATCATATCTTCGTGGATGAAATGATGTATGTATTGTATATATATAGTCCGATGACAAATTCATATCAAATATTTGAAATATAACAAATCTGGCATTACACTGTAAATCCTAACGTGTTAATGTGCACATGTAAAACATGTATTTAAATTGCTTTTATTATAACATTGCTTTTGATTCTATATCCCGCACACCAAAAATCTCGATAAACGTCTTGCACCTAATATTTTTTCAAATCAATAACACAGAAAAATCAGGAGCAAAGTATTATTATCTATTCAACCTCGACTTTCTATTCTTTTCCTCAATTTTCTATTCAAATAAATTAATGTCAGCACTTCACAATTTTATTTTGTGCCATGGCCATCGGACATCTTTCAATAAAACCCTTTCTTCCCTTTATTTTATGTACCTTTTGTTTACGTATAAATAACACACTATCAGACTTTTCATTATCATTATTTTCTCTAATTGTTTGCTCGATCACTAATAAAAAAATTGCTGTATCGATACGGGACAAATGTCATTTCTGTTGCAAAGGTTATGCAATACTTAAGAAAAACCACGGTTTTGTACAAAATAATCAGCGTATTTAATCCAACATCTTTGCATCATTATTTTACATGAATTATTTATTAGTACGTAACTGAATCGATAAAACCCTAACAATAGCAACATGTTAAGATTACACAAAAATCACGCGATAAATATAACTAGTGTTGTCAGTTAACATTCAAAGTGAATATGCATAAATGATGTACACTTGATTATCTTAATACAGAAAAGAATCGGAACATATTTTTACCACGAGTTTATTATAAGTCGAACCATAGTATTCCAAATGTAATAACGTGATTACCTTCGCGGCATTAACCTCGACAATAGGTATTCATCGCTTAATAGGACAGGTACAAGAAACCGATCGGCAAGATAACACAATTGTCGTACCTACGCATTACGTAAGAGATTATACGTAAAACACTTTGTTCATTATACATAAGTATATACATAATTGCTATATACATAAGTATAGTACGATAGTCAATATTCGACGGTGCAGGCTTGAATCGATTACTTTTTTTGCATTGAAATACAAATATATCGTTTAAAATAATTAACCTCCCACGGTATTTTGAATGCAAAAAAAATATCAAGACATATGAATTTCAAAACACAGAGTCCGTGAATAATAAAACTTATCAATTTAGACATTAATGTTAATGACTCGCAGCGACTTCTGTTCAATCCACAGTACAAGACTCATCGCCGATAGATTTATGGAAACGAAACAGTTGTCAGAACACGTACTTTAACATTTACAGAAAACTTGAGGGGATCTTAATCAAAGAGAACCGACAAGAAACCCATGAAAAACAATAAGAACAAAATGTTCCCGCACATTACACGTACCAAAAGCCAAATATTGCGTTTCTTATCTACTTATAGATATTAAGAAGTGTATATCGAGTATGTATGTATACTCGAGTTTTTTCGAACTCACCGTAATAAAGAAATAAAAAAGTGCTAATTAGGCACATTCTTAACAAAGTATTTACGAGATCGCTCATAATACATAGATACTTCTAGCCCCAAAACCAAAGGGGTATTGCACTAAACTCTTACTAAATAACGCGTTGCACGACTGAAAGCAGATGTTATTGTTTGAAAATATAAAAAATGGAATTCAAAAAGTTGTCACCGATCGATACGTAGCCCATCCACTCCCTGATTTTCGTTGATGATGGTAAGTCTATATAGGGTTGGCGGCGAGGAACCAATACAAAGGGGAAAGGAAGAGAAAACTATCTCCACCATAGCTTCCTTTTCTCAAGCTTTCCTATTTTTTTCATGAATTTTTCGATGTTCATGCACGGCGACAAGCAACGGGGGACAAACAAGTTTATTTGACCACTTTCTCTCTCCTGCTGCTAATAAGCCCCTGGATTTCTTTCGCCACTTTTTTTCCCTCTCGTTTTCAGCTACTTTTCCGCGACTTCTTTCCCTTTTCCCTGTGTAATTCACAAATTATACGTTTTCTCTGTTGGTTCCTTTTGCTACAAGCATCGGGTCAATTAGTACCTAGTATTGTCGTTCGTCTTTTTTGTGGAAATACTTTGTAAACAGAAGAGAAAGACAAAGTTTGTGCTCCTCCAAGCCAATTTGCACGCGATTCGAGAAAGAGGGTAAATCTTATGACTTGGACAAAGTTCAAACTTTGACGTCAACTCATGAAGAACAGGGATAAGTAAGGCGTTTACTTTTTCAACGACTTTCTTCGTGCTCCTTCGTCTCGAGTTGTATACATAACCGTGATGCGTTACTGCTTATTTACTTGTTAGTAAGTTTTCGAGAGTATCATGTTCATGTGTGGGAAGCTTATTGCCCAGACAGTTGCAACATTTTATTTTCTACCGTAATCAACTGAATTGGGTTATTTATTAAACCTTTATCGTTTGATGGATGATTTCCCTCGGCATCAATTGTAATAGGAACACTCCTTGAAACTGCTACAAGTGTTGATTGTAATTTTTAAAACGTTTAAATTATATTTCGAATGGGCACGCAGTCCAAAGTCCAACATTATTTTTCATAGCTAAAAACTGTGGAGTACGTAATTTTATTTTGTACATTGGATGACGTGTACAACCAATAACTAACCAATACTACGATAGGAGATTGTAAAGTGATATCTAAAGCTCCGAAGCATGTATAACTAGTAGAGGATAATTACTTGATCACTTAAGCTAATGCACATCGTGCTTAAACGACGTGTTTCAAGTTTTATCTCTACATGCATCGATCACATTTAAAAATAGATGGTAAAAAACAAGTTTCCCAAGTTTACGAAAAGCTTTTGTATGTAAGGCATATGCGTACACATAGGACAAATGATACATTTATCACCAAAGAAAAAAGGCGTTACTACAACGTACAGAATTTTTTGTACAAAATATTTTTACTGCTTTCAGATATACGAGAATTGTGTTCGATATATTTTGTACGAGTAGTGTAAAGCATTGAGATATCACATGGAAAAAAGAAGAGCATATTTTTAAGATTCACAATGTTTTTTCCATCACAGATATCAATTTCTTTTTGAAAAAAAGACGATATTTTTTTTGGCTAAAGTATTGTTTTCAGCTGCTAACCATTATGAAGCACAATCGACATTAAGTAATTATGTTTTTCATTGATACATGATCACATAATATATTTAATTGTTAAAAAATTATCCGACCGAAAAAACAAAAGTGTCCTTCATTGTCGCGGAGAAAAATATTTGCGTTGTCGTAAAAAAAAGCCCTCAAAGCCATCAATAATCCGTATACACAAATGTATAAGTGTACGCAAAGCATTAGAGTAACCACCACATACCTAACACCCAGAGATGATAAAAAGTTCGAAAGAGGATGCCACAGGAAAAAACAAAGCCCAGGAATTCACGTGTAGCACGAGAACCGTAAAGCCTCATCGCATATTTTATGTATACGAAAGCTTTGCGAACTGCTCCCCCTCGGAAAATCAACATCAGCGAAGCCGATGCTTTGTTTCCTATATATCAACTTACTTTTTTATTTTTTCCCCCCCAGCCCCCCCAAACACAGTCTCTTTATACATTGGAACCAGAGCCAATATACCGACGACTACAAAAAACCTCAGCTGCTCCAAATAACACGTACGTATAAAAAATATACACACAATGGCATTGCTCTTCATTCATCGAAATACCCCATACCCCCCTCCCCCAATAACCCAATAACCCCAACATTTTTGGTAACGATTCAACCCCTCGACCCCCTCCCCACTTGTTTCCCTTGAATTGGAAATATTTTAAGCTCGTATAAAAAAAACGGGGTCTACACCCACAGCTGCGAGGAAACGAGTTCGTAAATCGTATCCAATTTAAGAGTCTACGCGCAAAGTTCGTGTATTGAATAATAATAATAAGCAGCCAATAAAAAGCGAAAACTCACCATTGGTGAAGTTGGAGGGGAAGCAGGTTGACAAATTGCCCGCTATCGCTCGGCCGCAACGTTTTCAACGCTCGCCCCCTGATGGAATCGTGGTATTTTGGAGTCAAATATTATACATACAGGTATACCGAGTCAAGCACTGCACTGTATACTTATAACACGCGTTAATTCGGTCGAACGGACGCCGTGCCGTCTCTCGATTTCTTTATTCTCGTGCGAGCTTTACTCGACACATGCAAATGTGCTCACGCGTGGGTGTCAACGTTCACATGTGCATTCGCACTCACATACAAATATACATGTATATAAATGAGACTCGCGTTTTTCACTACGTATACGTATACAGCCACTTATAAAAGCAGTATATTTATTGGCATGATGTAGATAAATAACTAGTGGACAGATAACACTATTAGCTGTGTTGATTGATGTGTACGGTTGTATATACGGCTGAGTTTCCTTCTCTCTGACGTAATCCGCACTATTCTTAATAATTGCATTTATTTCCCAAGTAGTGGATCAAAGACAACGCGAGGACACTTTTACGTATTACTATTAATAATAGTTGGATGAATAGAGTATATAGAGCACAACCGACGACTGTACGTATAAGTACACATGCGATAATGTAATGTTGCGGAGTCGGGACGCCGACGCATCCGCACACAGACTAAAGTGTTAGCGCCGACGATGGAAGAAACACGCCAACAAAACAAGGAATAGCAGCAGCTACTATACGTACTATAACATAAAATACTATGTATATAGTATATATGTATATATGTATGTATATATAGTGGAGCAGAAGAGAAACACGCGCGCGCGCGTCGACGCTCGGCGTCGTCTGCTATGCGTTGTGTATAATATATATAGGTATAGCTGTCGCTGTAGCGGATGGATGTATATAATTTATACATAATATACTTGATAATTCTGTAATATAAAATGACTATTTTCATAAATGACCGTCGCGATGATTCTCAAGACGGTCATCCGCTACTTGCGTGGGCATGTGGGGAGATTGGGATTTTTTTTTTCTCATTATATTCTTTAGTCTGATAATTTTGCAACTTATAGGTATATATACATACACCGAACAATGAAAAGAAAGAGCATCGTGAAATTGGACGATGACAACGAAAAAATAGTACCAAAACCGGTCAGCCGCCTATTGTAAATCATGTGCCATTGTTCGGTGCTGCTAACTATAAGTAAAGTGCGCTTGGTTATTTCGGAGGACGGATTTACGGATTATCACTCTGCGCAGCTGCAACTTTTCTCTCTCAGTCTCTCTCCCCTTACGGTATTGATATATAGTATATATATAGAAGTAAAGTTTACCCTCCGCTTGCGCTTCTTTTTTTTTCTTCTCATTCTTATTCTTCTCCGCAAAAAGAGAGAGAAAAAGAAAGAAAGTATTTATACAGGGCCCATCAATCGATGTAGCCAAACCAAATTAACGCGCTGGACCAGAAATCGGCTACTTTTAGTGTGTATACCCATACTTATAATATAATTACACAAGCCAATCTAGGAAAATTTTTTTTTATTGAAAAATCTGTTGAGATAGTAGATTCTGGCTTACGGTACCCATGTGGTACAAGCAGATGATTTTCATTCGATTTTCCTACTATGATTTTTTAAGCGATCGGTTTTACCTTTTTAAAATGTTTTTTAAACGTAAAAATGTGTTATTGTGTAACTATATGGAAAACCAATAATAAGCAGACATTGGGAAACTTCAAGGGATAAGAATACCCGTGCCAGTTGAAGATTCAAAATCCTGATGGGTTACGAGATTCTTCAATG